TTAAAGGGCTGGAGCTGGGGTGGGTGGGGCAGCCATGGGTGGGGGCTGAAAGAGCAAGCAAGGCCTGGGGGCTCATGACAGAGACCCCCATGTGACATGGGGCAGTGGGGGGCAGCAGGAATTGCCCTCCTGCCAGGCAGCAGCCCATTTTTTTTTTCAAAATGCTGGAAGCTGGGAGAGCAGACAGGGGATGGGGCCTAAGAGATTCATCTGATTCGGCAGCAGCTGAATCTCTGAATCAGTTTTGGCCAAATAGATTTGGGACACTGATTCGAATCACTGTCCCCCAAATCAGCTGAATCTGAAGTGAATACTAGCTGCTTCGCGCAGGCCTGATTTATACATACAGACATGCACTTAATTTTATTTATTTATATATATATATAGAGAGAGAGAGAGAGAGAGAGATTTTGAGTTCATATTAAAATGGGAAGATGTTGCTATGAGGGTTGATGTGTAAATTTAAAGGCAGGAAGAATTTTACAACCTAAATATATTTAAGAAGCTACAGGCACCACTTGGCATTATTATAGCTAATAATTTGTATAAAATTCTGATGTTTATAATTTAGCCATTCTGTTACAAATTTCTGGTCATATGTAGTTGGTACATTTTGGAGAGTGGATTTTTTTTTTTCTTATTTTATTTGTGAAAATTAAACATAGGAATTTGCAAAAATATACTTCATGATCTGCCTGAACAGCTCACAGCAGCTATTCATAGATGTAACATTTGCATTAAAATGTCTGGCAATTTATTTAGGTACCTAATTTCAATACTGAATTTGGTGTCTTTGTTTTTTTTGAGTGTGTGCCTGATCCAATTACATCTGTACATTTATTTAAGTTCTGTATTCCAACAGGGTACGAGAAGCTGCTATGACAAATCTGATGGAGGTGATGCTTTTGCTGGTACGGAATGATCCAACATTAATTAGTGCCAACATGTGAGTAGTTTGCCTATTTTATATGCCTTTCTTTATGGGTTATATATACTGTTTTATGTGACCTGGAAGGTCCTGAGTATGACTCTACATAAAAATGTTTCCTGTATACTACATATAATGTCTTTTAACTGAGTGTCTCAAAGCCTTTTATAGAAATGTATTAAGCTTTGCAACACCTTGGTACAACAGGGAAATAGTAATGCTACATATATGAGCTGGTCTAAATTTGCTCCCTTTTTTGGGTTTGCTGTTATTGTTCACTTAAAAATCCTGTACCCATCTCCTACCTAATAAACTTTAACCTTTGCTTTTCCTGATCAAGGGTCCTCCTAGAGTACTCCTCTGGAGAGCTACTTTGCTTCTATTCTAAAATTGTCTTTTCCTCAGAGAGAGTCTGACCCTTTTATCTTCCTTGGCTACTGAGTAGAACTCACCTATTGCAACATTTGGATGCATCAGGAAAACAGCTTTCCATATCTTTACAGTAGGGCTGTGTGAAGTTTCGGTCGCTGATTCGATTCGGCCCAATTTGGTGGCTGAATCTCTGAATCTGAATTGAATCAGCAGACCCTTTAATCTCTCTGAATTGAATTGGAGTCCTCTGAATTGATTCAGAGAGGTATGGAAAGATTTGATGATTCAGACATAGATACAGCTTTAAATATTTTTTCTGCATACCTCAAGGTGCCAGGCATGGCTCATAAATGCTGAGATGGTGGGGAGGATGGAGCATCCCATGGGAGTACAGGGGGGTGTCCCCAGTGCTCTAGCCAGCAGACCCAGAAGTGGACCAGAGTACTTCCAGTTCACTTTCAGGTCCACTGGGGAGTGTGTGGGGGACTCCCCTGCCCCCTGGTTTGGCAACTGGTGCCTCCTGGGTTGGGAGGCTGATTCTCCGAATTGGCATTGAATCTTCAGATTCTCCGAATCAGCATCAAATCAGGACAGTGATCTAAATTAACGAATTGAATCACTGTGCCCAATTTGGGTCAAATCCAAATTGAATATAGCCCGTTTTGCACCCCCCTGCTTTACAGGTCTTAGAACCTCACTTTATAGTAAATTAGCAGAAGAGCACTATCTTCCCAATCCTTGACAAAATGCAGGACTGAATTTGTCTATTTCATTGTTTTGTCTTAGCATTTTTAATAAGGAAATAATCAAACCTATAAACAGAATTTCTTCAGTGCTCCACATTTTGAATCCTGTTGAACAGTATTTTTATGAATAAAAGAATCTAGATTTCAAAACTGGTATAGGTTTATCTGCATCAGAACCTTTTTAAGAGAGAGAGAGAATGTATGTATTCCATTCTGTAAATCTGTATCAGTCAACTGAATGTGTGCACTGTTTCCTTTCTTATATTAAAAAAAGTAGCTATGTGAATGAGACAGCTTGAAAGAAATTTCTGGGTTCTGTGAGAAGTGAATTTTTCTGTTTGAGACTGATGCAAAGGTAAACTTTTGAATAAGACTTAAAAGATTAATTCTGATGGCTTAACAGTGATGACAAAGATCATGTTATGTTTGTTAAAATAGTGTGGGTACCCCAATTTAAAGTATAACACAAATAGTACTTCTCATGTTTACTACTATTTTTATTTGTCAGGCCCAAAGAAATGCTAGGATTTGTACAACAGAGAAAAACTTGAGAAAAGCTGCCTTGAAAATCTTTCGAGTCAGGAATTTAGAGGTGTGAGTGAGGCAGCTCAAATAAAGCTGAGGTTAGAGTACAAGCTATGTCTTATTTGTGTACTCTCCTTGATGTGTGCACCACCAAGCTTTAGAATGGATATTTGAAGGAGTAAGAATTGGTTCCCTATGTATTTCATATCCTGCTTGAAAGCACAGTTTTGTTAGGATTACTGATGCATTCCATCTTAAGTGACTGAATTTCTTTGGTGATCTTTATGCTGTACGTCCAGTCCATAAGGCACAGGGTAAAGGTTGCTCCATAAATGTGAGGTATATGTCAGTATTGATTGCATTGTCTTGCTTGTTTGGACCTACAAGTATTTTATAGATTAATCTTTGGAAAATTGAATATATTACTAAAGACCATATTGAAGCCATGTATCATTTATATTGTTCACTATGAAAGTTGAAGCAAGAACACTGTTCTATAGTGGAATATCTCAATAGAGTAACAGAAGAATTATATTTTTAACCATTACTGCAAAGAATTTTTGTTTCAGATGTGTAGAGTACCATATTTACTTGCATACCACACATCCCCAAATAAGACATGCACATTGTTTTGGGAAAGCAGAATGAAGAATTTTTTCCCCCCCAGTCTTGCTTGCCCTGGCACCAGCTTACCCAGTTTACTCTAGCTGCATGGAACCAAATCCCCTCATCAGCATTGCTGCCCTTCCTCCTGCTGCTCAGTCAACAACAACTGCCAGTTTGGTGGGAGCTGTGAGAGTGTTAAACCTGGGGAGATAATTTTGACAAGGGGAATCCATCCCTGCCCCATGTGACCAGAGGTTTTAGCTCTGGGTAAGCGAGTACATCCCTCTTCTACCATTCCAGTGTCCACCTGCTTCCATTGCAGTATGGAAGTTAAGTTCTCCTCAAGACACTCCCCACATTTTGAATTGCTAATTTTTGAGGCAATGGTGCATGTGATATATGAATACATACAGTATTTTTATTTTTGTGATGTGATGGATGTATTCATGTTTTTACATTTGTAGTTGTCAACAAATTATGTGTTGCTTGGCTCAACAATCAGCCGAAAAAATTGATAGATTTCGGGCTTGTGCAGGATCTGTGTTCCTCAATCTTTTGCACTTCGACAGCCCTTCAATTCCACATATACCTCATCGAGAAGAGTTAGAAAGAATATTTCCAAGGTAATCTAGCTCTTTATCTGCTTCTTCTAATTTATGAAAGTGGTTTTCTGGGCTAAACATATCAAAATGAAAATCGTTCTTGCTGTGTATCAAAATGTAAAAATGCGTAAGAAAGCTTGGATTTCCATCTAGTTAAAGAATTCAGAATTGAAAAATGAGTTTTACCAAGGGGATTTTCAGTTGAGAGTTTGATGTAAATAAACAGAAAAATGTATTCAAGGTAATTTGTTTACATTATAATTTTTTTGTCAGAAACCATCGTATAATAAATATTGCTAAACACTCGCTACAAATATAGGAATTAGTCCACTGGCCAATTCCAGTATGACATCTTGTTCATCATCTTTTATTCTGACACCCAGTGCCTGCTGCCTCAGGGTAAGGAACCTGCAGTGAGCAGCTATTGGATTATCTGCTCCCAGAGAAAACTTTCTCTTACACTAAATGGAGTATGCGGGATATACACCAACATTGGAGAAGTTGTATTTCTTCCAAACCTCTGTTGATTTTAATATTTAAAAAATTTAATATTTGATTTAGAATAATAAAAAGTATTACTGTTTTTATCTGTAGTGTGGAGCTGGTCTCTCATGACCAAAGGGCATCTTTACACATGCTCTGGGATTGAGGGGGAGGCTTTTTAATTAGAATGGCTCTTGGGAGCTGCTCTGATTAAAACACCAACAGCGTCTTGTGTATTCAGTGTCCTGCTCTTCAAAATGGCAGCAGGAGCACTTTAACTGAAGCTTGTTTGATGAGTTTGAAAGTGCCTCTGCTGCCATTTTGAAATGGCAGGGATGCTGAATACACATGACGCCAAGGCTGCTGGAGCACTCTAATTAGAATGCTCTAGCAGACTCAATTAATCTAGTCTAAATAGAACATGTTAGAGCAGGTGTCAGGCATGTGTATAGGTGCCCAAACTGTTTTATTGTAGTTGCCTCTAAAATTGCACAGTATTACACTAGTTCAGTTTTAGAGCTATTCTAGAGTAGCCTTAAAATTATGTCCTGATTATCCACTTGGTTGCTTCTTGCTGTCAGGATATATATGTTATGGGGCAGAACCAATATGTTTTTTGAGATATTTGTTATATATCATGCTGTATTATGCTGTGTAGTTCTGAGACTATTTCTTCATTTGTTGATGTGTTGGTTTTGAATGGGGATATAATCTAGGACCCTCTGGAGAAATAATAATATTATTATTAATAATAAAAAAATAAAGAGCCCTGTTGCTTTGCTTTTTTCTTTTTACAGGTCAGAGACTATAACTTTAAATTGGAATGCCCCCTCACAAGCCTTCCCTCGAATCACCCAGCTTTTGGGTTTGCCAGCATACCAGTACTACGTGTTGCTGGGTCTCACAGTGTCTGTTGGTGGGTTAACAGAATCAACGGTAAGATATCTGGACTCCAGCTATCTGTTTGCTAGGAGTATTTATTTCCCCCATGAGTACATGGTGACTGAAAAAAAAAAAAAATTTTTGTTTCAGTGAACATTGAAGATATTTTTGTTACTGAATTCCAATTGCAAGTTTAAAAGCCTATTATTTTATTTATAAAATAGTATTTTCTTGAATTCATGACCAAGCAGGAGACTGTGAGAACATTTAGGGTATGCCTACACTGATGGTCTACTCTGAAAACCCCAAGCTTTATTGACAGCAATACAGTCTGACTTTAGCAGCTTATAGTTTGAGGTTGAACCTGCCCTATCTGTAGTATGTTTGAAACTCAACCAGACCCTGCAGAAGGCAAGCACAGGAAATCCTCCAACAGCAATCCCACAACCTTCTTTTCCTGACTTCCTGTCTCTTCTGCCCATAATTGGAGAACAAGAGACAGGCAGTAGGCAGACTGGCTCTGCTTTTGAGCCAATCATGTTCGAAAAGTGTAAGTAGTTTGGTTGTTTCCTGTTGTCTTGCTTATTACTGTCTGCTAGTATGTTTAAGAACAACCTTTTGTTCTGTTTTCAGAATATGGCTTTGAAATGTTAACTCCTCATAACCGACTGGTTTCTCTTCTATGCTTAAAGTTAATTCCCATTAAATGCTTCTTAAGGAGTATGGATTTAGGCACAGAGTAGTAGCCTAGTTCTTTTCAGTAAGATCAAGGCACAGGCATAGAGGAGTTTTTAAACCTACAAGCAAACTGAACAATCTGTTATATAACATCATAGTACAGGGGTTTTCAACCTTTTTTTATCAAGTGTACCCCTTCTGTCTCAAAGTTGCAGCTCATGTACCCCTTTATATTTTTTCTTGTTTTTAATGTTACCAATTATGTGATATAAGGCAGGCTACACTAATTAACATTAAATATATTATTAGTATATGCAGCATCCGGCTGGTAAGTCTGTTGAGGGAGGTAAGCAGGGGGTGCAGATCGAGGCCCCTGCAGTTGGGGAGGGAGTGTGGCTGGGGCAGTGGTAGGCACTGCACAGCCAGGGTGGAACGTGGGATGAAGCTGCGAGCGGCTCATCCGGGGGGGTGTGGGGAAGGGGGGCAGCTCCGGCTGCTGCACGACGAGGGCTGGGCCGAGCGCCTATGGGAGGGGCTGCAGCCGCTCCAGAATTCGCTGTATCCCCCCCAACCCTTCCTCCCAGCACAGCCTGGCCCAGTCGCCCTGCTGGGAACAGCCTGGCACTGCCCCAGCCCCCAGCGGCAGCCTGCTCTTGTCCTGAACACAGATCTGGGGGCACATGTCCCCCATGCCCTCCCAGGGTTACATGTAGTGGTGGGAGCCACCCTCCCCCCTGCACAAGGCTCAGTCTCACGCCCTGCCCTGGCTGGGTAGCCCTTGCCCCTGCCCTATTTCCCCACTCTCTCCCCCACTGCTGGGGCCTTGAGTTACTCCCCTCCCTACACCCCTTTCCTCACAACAGACTTACCAGCCAGACCCGGCTGCTCTCCATGCTGCTGGGCTGTGCTCCTTGGTTGCCTGCGAGCTGTGCTGTAGCTGCACACATGCATGCGGCATTTATTGGCTACATTATCGGACACATTAGTCAAAAAAAAGCTCATTGCCAATATAGTCAATATTCCTTAAGTTGGTGCTGATCTGATACAGGACCGATATATCAATGCACCTCTAATATTTTCTCATTCGTTCTGCATACCCCCTACCACCTTTTTAAGTACTCCTAGGGGTACACATACCTGCAGTTGACAACCACTGCCATAGTACATTCAGTTATGTAGCAGTTTAGTGCAGACCATTGACTTTGATTGAAGTAGTTATCTGAATGACTTTAGAGGGGGCATCTCTGCTGGTTCAAATGAGCAGCATTTTTTTTTTTTAATTTCTGCTTGTTCACCCAATCTTTTACTGTAGTGGCAAGTACATGTGCTTGCACTCCATTTAGGGCATGAGAGAAGCAGGACTGACATGGGTCAGGAGGTATAGGTGTTCATTAGTGGATAGGTGAGACAAAGAAAAGGTTATGGGTTGGAGAATGCCCTCTAGGTAAAATGGGCTGTAGGCTAGAGATCTTGGGGTACAAAAGAAAGAGGGAAATGAGATATTTAGGGGAACATTTCAGTATGAGGTATTCTGTAAAAAAAAACCTGAGAAACAGGAGAGATTTTTGCCAGATTAGGTTTGATAGTAGACTTTGGTCTTACGTAGATTTCTTTCTTATGTACATGTAATGCACAGATCTATTTTATTAGATAACAGTGTGTGAATGGTTAGTTAATACTAAACAGAAAAAATGTGCTGCGCAACAATATGTAATGCACAATGAGGTATCAGTCTTGAGTGCATCAGAACGGTACCATGGATAGGTTAGGAACTGGGTGAATCCAGGAACCAGTTGGCTCAGAGGTCTGGAAGCCCTGGGGTTTCTGTTTGAATGACAGGGGTGCCCTGGAGCCGTAGATCCTGGAAGCATATATCAAGGTCCAGACGCTGTGTCAGTGAGCCTGGAAATCCAGGGAATACCACTCAAGTTCCGGCTTTGAAGACTTCCATGGTCTCTGCTCCAGAGGTGGGCCCTGAGCCCTAGTTTGACTCTGAGGCTTACAGGGTTTTCAGGCTTCTGGCTTCACAGCTGGGAGACTGAAAGCTCTGGCTTGACAGAGTTGTTCTGAAACTAGAAGTCCACACTTCCTATATCACAGTAGCATTCAAGGGAAGTTTCTGATGACAAACTTGCCTGTGATTCAGTGACGGTTCATCAAACTCAAGATGTTTTTGTGACATTTCTGACCAGCTGCAACTCCATCTTTCATAGGAATGTTGCCCTAAATGCAACTCCTGCTGGTAGAAATATGACAAAATGACAAAATGATGCTAAAAATGTTCCAACAGTTACACAGCTTATTATCAGAGCTGTTAACTATTCTTCCTGTGTTCCTTTTGTTAGGAGTCTGTGAAGTAATCTGTCTTCAAAATGCAGTAGGGCATAGGCAAAATTTGCATTTATAATTGCAAGGTTCCGACCCCAAAGCACTTTATTTGAAAGGGCGAGAATATACTTACCAGAATTTGTCTATGTAAAAGTCAACAGCTAGGAACAGTTTGGATGTGCTCTTATTGCAAAATTTTATTTCTTAGAAGATAGTTTTTTAATAGGTGATTAGAACTTAGGGATGCTGTAGCAGCTCCTTGCAAACCGTTAGGTTACTCAGCCGGCACCACTAGAACTAAAAAATTAAGCAAAGCAATGCTCTTTTCCCTATCTCCCTATCCTTATTTCCACATGTCTCTAATTAACCTTTGTGTAATGGAGATGAGATGGATTAATGTGCCAAGCCAGTAGTAAGGAATGAAGAGAAATGGAAAGAGGGTGGGGAAGCAAGGTTTCTCAGCAGATCTCTAGCTTTAAACTGGGGGAGTTGAGCTACTCCTCTAATTGGAGCATAAGCTAAAGAGAAAGGGGTAGTCCCTTTGAAGCCACCTGTTTGGCTCTTTTTGTTGCTTCTGTAGTTCCACACAGTGAAATAATTGGCAGGAGAGGCTTCTTGAAACCATCACAGCCTGCAATACCGCTAGATATTTTTTTTTTTTTACTAACTTAAACAGACTCCCATGTACTCTCAAGACATTACCAAACACAAGCTCTTCCAGCAACACAGAGTGGCAACCAAGCCTGCCTAGGAAAGTTCCCCACAGGAATTTCACTGCCTATTTCTGCTTTATGAGAGACAAGCCCTTTGCAGCTCCTTTCCAGGATCTGAGGGGCAGTGGCTGCTGCGCTTAATGGCAAATGAGAGCATTTGTGAGAAGTTTGGCTCTTGAGATCCTTCCTTTCCAGGCCCTGTGGGTAGCTTTGAAACTCCATTCTCCTCTCTGAGAGCTCTCTTCAGCCATCCTTTGAAGATGCATTTTTCTCTCTCATTCAAGTCCCCTGAGCTTAAGTCATCTCCAGGAATGGGCGGACCCAGGGAACCCAAAATTCTGAATTCCTTCCACCTCATTTGTTTCATGTTACTCTGCAGAGTGATGTCTAGAAAAAGAATCTCTTCTGGGTTTTTCTCTAGGTGCCAAAGTTTCATTCTCTCTCAGCAGTGTTTGCTGCCATGCTCTCAATTAGGAGCCAGATCGCATCGTTCAGCCATAGTTTGTTGAAGGTGCAGAAACCTTCTAGAGAAACCCCTTTAGGGCAGTGTAAGTTTGTATCTGGGCTGCTGCTGGGGGCTAAGTGAAGGTGTCACCATTGTTATGTACCAAGAGAAAGTCACTAGTTTTCAGCTGCCTCTGGTCATGGTGTATTCTTGAACAGTACTATGCCAATGGGAGGATGTCTGGGATGTTACAGCCCACTGGTGATGTGGACAGTGACCAAATCCTATATGTGGCAACTCAGTTGGTCATGGTGTGGGTGGGGTGGGACCACATTGCAAGTGCAGGAGGACTTTTTAGACAGCAGCCTTGTTCTCCCTGCCCTTATGTAATCTGGGGCTGATGCAGCTGTTTCTGCACTGGGTCCTCTTGCTTCACTCCATGTTTACCTACTGCCCTATCAATACAGTACTGCAGTCCAGAGAAAGCAGACACAACACCAGTGTTTCTCTTGAGGCTCCTGTTTTGAGCCCCATCTGTGGGGCACTTGAAAGCATTTCCCTTGGTGAATATAGATTGTGTTTAGGGTTGCTTTAGGCTAGAACCCTTTAGAGTTTACTACCATTTTAACCCACAAGGTTGGCATCACAAGGGTCTTGCTCTGAGGCAGGGCTGAGAGAGCTCCCATGATTCATCCGTAAGGTCTTTTGTAGTCTATGAACAAATCAGCAATAAGGTCTTTTATAGTCTATGAACAAATTGGCAAAGACCAGGAACTGCAGTTTTGGCATTGACACCCTGTTTGGAGTCTATTTCCACCTGTGGCAGAGTAGACTTGTTGCACTTGCGTACCTCTTCGAAATACAATGGAGGTAGGAGGAGGCCCCCTACA